GTCACTATTCACTAACTGCTATTGCGATATGCCCGTAGGAATCAATCACTTGCCCATTTCAGCATTTTAATCCTGCTTTCGCGTCTATGACTATAACATCTTTAAAATTTTTCAACGCATTTTAAGCCAAAGTCACTACGCGCGAACGAAAGTGCAAACGAAAATCTTTAATACTAGTCGGATAGAATTGCGTGACATTTGACATATATTACAGTAAAATGTAGTAAACAGCCAAGCAGCAGAACGTTTTATACTAATAACCTTTGCCCAAACCTCAAATATACATGTCTGTAGCAATAATAGTCACATGGTAATTTGAATTATGTAGATTTACACACTTTAACAAGAACGCAAAAATAAATAGTGAAAACAACTATGATTGCATATTTCAATATGCTAGCAGCCACTATTCGCTAACTGTTTTAGCAATATGCCCGCACGCAAAACATTTGCCCATTTGATCCATCTGACAAATATTTTTCCAACGGAAAACACGGTGTCCAATGGATCCATTGGATCCAATGGACAATTCGTTTGGCTATCTCAATGGCCTTGTATATCTACATGACGTCCATGTGCTTGTCATTACGTCATTGAAATACATGGGAATTCACCAACTGAAAACGCAAATGTCCGATGGAAATTCCACTTGTCCATTCGATCCAATGGACAAACAAAATTCCAATGGACATTTGCAAGTCCATTGGATCCATTGGATCCAATGGACAATTCGTTTGGCTATCTCAATGGCCTTGTATATCTACATGACGTCCATGTGCTTGTCATTACGTCATTGAAATACATGGTAATTGACCAACTGAAAAAGCAAATGTCCGATGGAAATTCCACTCGTCCATTGGATCCAATGGACAAAAAAAATTCCAATGGACATTTGCAAGTCCATTGGATCCATTGGATCCAATGGACAATTCGTTTGGCTATCTCAATGGCCTTGTATATCTACATGACGTCCATGTGCTTGTCATTACGTCATTGAAGTACCTGGTAATTGACCAACTGAAAACGCAAATGTCCGATGGAAATTCCACTTGTCCATTGGATCCAATGGACAAAAAAAATTCCAATGGACATTTGCAAGTCCATTGGATCCATTGGATCCAATGGACAATTCGTTTGGCTTTCTCAATGGCCTTGTATATCTACATGACGTCCATGTGCTTGTCATTACGTCAGTGTAATACATGGTAATTCACCAACTGAAAACGCAAATGTCCGATGGAAATTCCACTTGTCCATTGGATCCAATGGACAAACCAAATTCCGATGGACAAACAAAATTCCAATGGACAAATAGAGATCCATTTGACAAATGGAATGTCCAATGGCCTTTTCATTTTTCCATCGGACATCTTGCATGGGTATTGGACATTAATCAGTTTTCCTGATGCGAAGAAAAACCCTGACATCTATGCGAAATGGGTGGAAAATGTGAACAGGAATTCTCCGGTTAACTTTGTTCCCACAAAAGGAAGTCGTCTTTGTTCAGCGCATTTTAGCTTGGATATGATAAAGGAGGATAGAGAACGAGTGATACTGAAGCCGAATGCTATTCCAACAATATTTCAATATTCTCAGGTTTGTGTCTTAATTAGTACAATTTACTGGTAATAAATAAATATGATGGCTGGGGCCATAGGAACGGTGGGGGGG